TCACTTTGATTAGGGAATTTTTTTGTCACTACCAACTTTTGTTTTTAATTCACTTGGAGCAGTCCCAAATTTTAAGCAGTATAATAGCATGCTTAATTTTTTTTTTTTTTTTTTTTGAGACAGAGCCTCAAGCTGTTCCCCTGGGTAGAGTGCTATGGCTTCACTGCTCACAGTAACCTCCAACTCCTGGGCTCAAGCGAGTCTCCTGCCTCAGCCTCCCAAGTAGCTGGGACCACAGGTGCCCGCCACAATGCCCGGCTATTTTTTGGTTGCAGCCATTATTGTTGTTTGGTGGGCCGGGCTGGATTCGAACCCACCACCTTGGTTGTATGTGGTTGGCGCTTTAGCCACTTGAGCCACAGGCGCCAAGCCAGCATGCTTAATTTTATTTTTGCATTGTACAGTTCTTGATAATAGCAAACTAATTTCTGTAGCTGTATTTGATGAAAATATGCTGATGGGACTCATATTTCATATCATTGAGTATAATGAGCTGTTTCATCAAACTGTCCTTATGACAGTATTATAGAGAAAATGATAAATTTACTAATTTATTCACTTGAAATTCCATTTGAAATTTTTAAAAGAAAAGAAAAGATCAATGAAGTCAGGTAAATTAGGCTTTCCCGAGATATGTCTGGGTACATATGAAACAATAGCTCTAACCCTTCTTGTTCTTAATAAAATGTTAACATTAAAAAAAGGTTGATTAATTATTACTTTTAATACAATTCTGAAGAACAAATAAGAAGTTCTGAAATACCCTATTGTGAATAATATTTACTCATAAGCATTATCATTACTGCCATGATCTCATATAGAATTGGCTTTTTATCACTTTTCTTTTTACTCAGCTTTTAATTTAGAAATTATCAGTAAGTAGATATATCCATAAGAGTTATTAATAATTTTATAAGACTTTTTAAAAACTTTGGAGTAACTAGAAATTGTAGCATAGCATTTATGGGACTCTGCCAAACCAACTAGCATACAGGACGCTAAAATTGATGCAAATACAATAGGATAAAGTGTCTTTTATTGATCATTGTGCTGTATAGAATTTATGCTCACTAAACTCCAGAAAAAAATACTCACCAGGACCCAGGTCAGACTCTTCAATGGTCTAGTTAAATAATCTTCAAACATAATAAGACCATGACATTTTATTTTGGAATCTTTTCTTTATATAAAATGAAGTCATTGATTTTCTTCATTTATAAGCCATCAGCAAGGAAAATAATGGCTCTAATAAATTATTTAACTTGATCTCTTCTCAGGGGATTCATTCTACCATTCTCTCTTATCTGTAAGAAAACACATACTGTAAGGTTATTTTAAGTGACAACTGTGTTCTTGATAAATGTTCACAGTAAAATGCACTGAAGCCATAACAGATACTATTTCTTTCCTTTCTCATTGTTCCCTCTATTTCTAATGTGTCTTACCTACTACATTAAGACTGCCACTTTTCTCTCAATTCAATTAATAAATACTCTCCCAAATCCTAAAGTAATAATGAATTTTGAAAGCAGCTGTTAAGATTAAAAGAACATGACATTCTTAATGGAATTTCATAAAGGAACAATGAAACTATAGTTTCTGAAAAACCAAAAGTCCTCATTAAATAAATAGTGGAAGCACAGCTTAGCTTTGGAATTGCAATGTTAAATGCCAATATCCTCTGGAGCTATCAGGTCTGAGAAAAATAAGTTCTTTTCAGACAGATCTATTTTTTGGTTGTTTTGTAATAACCAACTGTATAAAAAAATGAAATAGGAAAGTTGACTCATCTTGCCTCATTTTAGTATCAATGAATGGTGTGCTATTTGTACAATCTTAAAAACAGGGCTACAGTCATCAGGATGGGTGACTAGAGACAGGCAACATTTGCCTTCTCAACAAAGATTAAAAAATAAAATCAAGCTGAGCACAGCGGCTCACACCTGTAATCTCAGCACTCAGGGAGGTCAAGGCAGAAGGATCACTTGAGGTCAGAAAATGAGAGCATCTTAAGCAAGAGTAAGACCTCATCTCTATTAAAAATAGAAAAATTAGTCAGGCATGGTGGTATATGCATATAGTCCCAGTTACTTGGGAGGCTGAGAAAGGAGAATTATTTGAGTCCAGGAGTTTGAGTTTGCAGTGAACTATGATGATGCCACTGCCCTCTAGCTGGGGTAACAGAGTGAGATCCCTGTCTCAAAATAGATAGATAGATAACCACTCATTAGATTGACTGTCTGGAGAGAACACTGGAATTCAGCAAAGAAGCAACAAAGATTATCTGCAGAACAGAGATTTAGGATGATAGTGAAAGAAAAAAGAGAAACACACAGCCTGGATAAGCTTAGAGCCAAGACAGACACCTAGCCACAGGAAAAAGATAAGAAGGAGATGCTTAGTACTCTGAATTCCCACCACAGATGCTTATAATTCTTTACATAAGAGCCTACAACCCTTGCAGGGCCTTAGGCCAGAGTCTACATTACTACCTAGAATCCATATGACTTTATTATTTCAAGGAAAGTATTTACACTGCTTAGCCCCACCCCTAGGACGCAGGCTTCCATAGGATATCACCACCCTGAGAACAGAACCATCATCAGAGTACATCTTGCCCTGGGCCCCAAGAGCCTCTGCATCTCCAAGGGCTTGCCAACATTCTACCACATCCACCCAGGAAGCTGAAGCACCATGACAACAATTAAACCCAGTGATGCAGTTATGATTCTGGCTCCCAATCCCTATACCATGCAGTACAGGTAGTCCAGCATAGCAGGAAGGCAACCCCCAGAATGGAGCTGTTCTGATATGTGTACTCTGCAGAACCTAACAACCACCAGGTCAGGAACCACTGCTGCCACTGGCAACCTCAACCCCTCAAATGCAACCTGAACCCTCCCATTCTTCCCTTGGGCTCAGAGACTGATCCACTCAGGGCCTGCCACCTCCACCAGTGACCCCAACCCTTCCAGAATGGAGCTACTGCATACTCAGGCTCATCCCCTGACAGTGGCCAAAGACCAATCCACCTGGTTTCCCTGATTCAGCAATTCACACCACAGCTTCCAAAAAACAATTACAGCTTAGTCCATTGAGGTACATGCAGGCACTAATGATAATAAAAATAGTTGAAGAAATCAAATGGAAACTACGTCACCATACCCACCAAGAACCAAAGCCAAGAATCCTAGCCAATTGGAAATACAGGTAACATTCACATGAAAAAGTTATTCTCTCCAATAACTACTCTATAAAATTGGAAGAAGCAACAATTACATCACATTTGCAGATATAAAGTAGGAACACATCAAATATGAAAAAGCAAGAAAACAAAGAAACAATAATACTCCATAAAAAAGATACCAAAAAAATAAAATGCATGAAATGCTAAAAAGAAATTCAAAATAATGATTACGTAGAAACTCAGCAAGAGAGAACATAAAAAGACAATTGAACAAAATAAGGAAAACAATTCATGATCAGACTGAGAAGTTCAACAAAGAGAGAAATACCATTAAAAAAGAAATAAATGGAAATCTTAAAAGTAAAGGATTCGGCTCGGTGCCTATAGCTCAACCGGCTAAGGAGCCAGCCACGTACACCTAGGGTGGCAGGTTCGAATCCCCAGCCCGGACCCGCCAAACAACAATGACGGCCACAACCAAAAAAATAGCCGGGCGTTGTGGCTGGCACCTGTGGTCCCAGCTGCTTGGGAGGCAGAGGCAGGAGACTCGCTTGAGCCCAGGAGTTGGAGGTTGCTGTGAGCTGTAATGCCACGGCACTCTACCCAGGGGAACAGCTTGAGGCTCTGTCTCAAAAAAAAAAAAAAAAAAAAAGTAAAGGATTCAATGAGGAGAAAGATACAATTAAAAGCTTCAACAATATACTAGATCAACCAAACAAATTTCTGAACTTGAGGACAGGTTTTATGAAATAATCCAAACAAGAAAAAATAAATAAATAAAAAAGAATGAAGAAGCCCTATGGGAACTTTGGAACACCACTAAGCAAACAAATATTTGCATTATAGAAATTTTAGCAGAAGAGATGGGAAATAGCCTAAAATACTTATTTAATGAAATAATGGCTGAAAACTTCCCAAGTCTAGGGAGAGATGTGGATCCAGGAAGCTCAAAAATTCCCAAAAATGTTTTTCCTAAAGCATATTATAGTCAAATTGACAAAAGTCAAAGACAAAAAAGAAATTCTATAAACCATAAAAGAAAGTAGAAAAAAATCAAAAGAAAACCCCCATCAGACGAACAGCACCTTTCTTAGCAGTAACCTCACACACCAGGAGAAAATGAGATGACATATTCAAAGGGTTAAAAGAAAAAAAAAAAAAAAAACCTGCCAGCCAAGAGTACTATACTCTCAGCACAGCTAGATTTCAAAGATGAAGGAAAAAGAAAGTCTTTTCCAAATAAGCAAAAACTGAGGAAATTTATCACTATTAGATTACCCTATAAAAACTGCGTAATGGAGTCCTAAACCTAGAAACAAAAGGTTAATAATTACCATCATAAAAACACATGACAGTATAATACGCATTGGTAAAGCAGATACGCAAATGAGAAAGAGAAGGAAACCCAACATTATCGCTACAGAAAGCCATTGAACTGCAAAGATAAGTAAGAGAAGAAAGGAAAAAAAGATATACAAACCAACCAAAAAAAAAAATTATCAAAATGACCTTACCTATCATTAGCAAATTTGAATATGAACAATTTAAATTTTGCAGTTAAAAGGTATAGTCTTACTGAATTAATTTTTAAAAGACACAGTTACATGCTGCCTATAAGAAATGTACTTCACCTATGAAGGCACACTGAAGGCAGACTGAACGTTAAGTTTAGGGAAAAAAAAAAAAACACTCTATACAAATAAAAACCAAAACTGATGCAGGAGTATCTACACTTATATCAGATAAAATATACTTTAAAGCAAAAAAATAAAAAGAGACAAAGTAGGTCATAGTTATAAAAAGTATCCATTCAGTGCTCGCTTTGGTAGTGCATACACTAAAATTGGAATGATATAGAGATTAGCACGGCCCCTGGTGCAAGGATAACACACAAATTCGTGAAGCATTCCATATTTTTGGAGTAGGGCACTGGCCCCATATGCTGGAGGTGGCAGGTTCAAACCCAGCCCCAGCGAAAAACTGCAAAAAAAAAAAAGTATCAATTCAGCAAATGGATATAACAATTATAAATATGTATTTGCCCAACACTAGAGAACCCAGATATAGAAAGCAAATATTTCTAGAGCTAAAGGAATATACCCCAATTATAGACTCCAATACAGTAATAGTTGGATATTTTAATATCCCTTTCTCAGCCTTGGACAGATCACCTAGATAGAATATCAACAAGGAAATATTAGACATAAATTGCCCAATAGGCCAAATGGACCTAACAGATATTTGCAGATCACTTTATCTAACATCTACAGAATATAAATTTTAATCATCAGCATATTCTCCAGGATAGATCATATGTTAGGCCACAAAAGAAATACCAACAAACTTTTTAAAAAGAAATCATACAAAGTATCTATTCTAGACAATAGACTAAAACTAGAAATCAATATCAAGAGGAACTTTGGAAACTGTACAAACACATGGAAATTAAAAAACATACTCCTGAATGGCAAATAAAGAAATTAAGGAAATTTTTTTAAAATCTTAAAGCAAATGACAACAGATAAATGACACACCAAAAACTATGGGATATATAGCAAAAGTGGCACTAAGAGAAAAGTTTATAGCAATAAATGCCTATACCAAAAAAAGTAAATTATTTTAAATAAACAATATAAAGATGCACCTCAAGGAATGACTAAGAGTAAACTAAACTCAAAATTAATAGAAGAAAAGAAATAATTAAAATCAGAGAAAAACTAAATTAAAGGCTACAAAAAATACAAAGGATCAATAAAACAAAAAAGGTGGGTTTTTTTCAAAAGGAGACAAAATACGTAAAACGCTTGTTATATTAACCAAACAAGACAGAGAGATGGCCCAAATAAACAAAATCAGAAATGAAAAAAGAGACTTTGCACCGGGGGGGAGGGGGGGAATACAAAATATCATAAGACTGTTATGAACAACTATATGCCAGAAAATTGGAAATGGATAAATTCCTGGATGCATACAACCTATTTCTGTTTTAGAAAGAAACATTAAACTTGAACAGAACAATAACAAATAATGAAATCAAATCAGTAATAAAAAGCCACCCACCAAAGAGAAGTCCAGGACAAGATGACTTCACTGATGAATTCCACCAAACTTTCAAAGAAGAGCTAACACTAATTCTCATCAAATAATTCCAAAAAATTGAAGAGGAATGAGTTTTTCCTAATTCATTGAATGAGGCCAGCATTACCCCAACACCAAAACCAGTGAAGGATCCAACTACACCAAGAGACAGGAGGATCTCTTGAACACAGGACAGTGCTGTGTTTTTTGAGGCTGCTGTGTGCTAGGGTGATGCCACCGCACTCTAGCCTGGGGAAGCAGAATGAGACTCTGTCTCAAAAAAAAAAAAAAGAACATACATTGGACATTGGAGAAAGAACAGTCTCTTGAATAAATGATGCTGGGAAACTCAGGATCCAGAAACACAAGAATGAAACTAAACCCCGTCTCTCACCATACAAATAAATCAACTCAAAATAGATTAAGGAATTAAATGTAAGCCCTAAAACTATAAAATTATTAGGAAAAAAACAGAGGAAATGCTTTAGGATATTTGTCTGGAAAATGGTTTTATGGCTAAGAATGCAAAGCATAGGCAATAAAAGCAAAAATAGACAAATGGGATTGTATCAGACTAAATATCTTCTGCACAGCAGAAAAAACAATCAACAAGGTAAAGAGACAATCTGTAGACTGGGAGAAAATACTCGCAAACTATTAATCAGACAATGCACTAATACTCAGAACAAACAAAGAACTCAGACAACGCAGTAGCAAAATACAAGGGTAGTCATGCAGTATTGGTGGGAATATAAATTAGGAGAGCCATTAAAAAAAAAACATTATAAGGATGTCAAACTCTCACTCTCCACCAATGATATAATTTTATACTTAGCAAACCCCAAAGATTCAACCACAGACTCCTGGAAGTAATCAAGAAATTCAGTAACATCTCAGGGTATAAAATCAATGTTCACAAATCAGTATCCTTTGTATTTGCCAATAACACCCAAGGTGAGAAGCAAATCAATGACATGATACCATTCACAGTAGCATCAAAGAAAATGGAATACTTAGGAATATTCCTAACAAAAGGGGTGAAGGATCGCTACAGGGAGAATTATGAAGCCCCATATAAGTGTCTTAATACAATAACTAAGAAATTGCCATGTAGGCTATGTTGACCAGTTTGATGAAAGCATTTCAGATTGTGTATTAAACTAAGACATTGTACCCCATGATTGCATTAATGTACACAGCTATGATTTAATAAGAAAGAAAGAAAGGAAAGAAGGAAAGGAAGGAAAAGCAGAAGACATTAATAGATGGAAGAATATACTATGCTCTTGGATAGGAAGAATCAACATTGCTAAAATGCCTATTATACCCAAAGCAATCTACAGATTTAATGTAATCCCCATTAAAATACCATCATACCTTGAGGAACTCAAGAATTTTATGTATTCCCCACCATAGCCTTGTAAGCTATATGTTAATATTTTTCCATTTTACATACAAGGAGACTGACACACAAAGATTCAGTAAATTGCCTAAATTCACACAACTATCATAAATTGATGGGGTAGCTAGGATCAACCCTATCAAAATCTAATATTTCTTAATGTTAAAACTTTGCTCTAATTTCTAAAGTTTTCATTTGAGCCTCTGTAATAATTCATAAAGAATGATGAATGAGAGATTATTTATTTTCATGACAGAAAGAAATATAGCACATAATTATCCTTCCATAATATCATCAATAAACTACTGAACTAGTGATAAAGTTCTATGTCTGATGGAAAAAAATTAGGGTTAGCCAACCCAATATTTTTAGAAAGTTGACAAGTTTCATAAAGTGACTTGTTTTGAAAACTACCTTTTCCATGAGAAAATGTTCTAATTCCCATGGCCTACTCAAATGAAGAATTTTGTCATCTTGGAGATTAGATCAAAACAGTTTTATTTCAGGCTTCCTTTATAGATAAAATACATATCACACAAATCTACATATGTAAAAATCCCACCCTATTTTTTAATTTAAATGATATCTTAAAGAAATAGTTAAAGATGAATAGGTAGACAGATGAAAAATAGATAGGTAACACTGAGTTTCGACTCACATGACTGTTTTCAAACTGAACGCTAAGTGGGAAGTGAGAGAAATATGGTTACACGAGCTTGTCCAGAAAGTTCCCTGTATCTTTCTGACACTCATATTCTGCCTCTTTCCCATGTGCTGCTCCATATTTGAGCTGTTTCACTAAATCTTACTTCTGATAACTGACAGAAACTGCCTTACTGAACCACGGTTCCAGTAAACCTCATCCAGCATATTCTCCTGTCCCATATGCAAAGGCTGACATTAGAACAACTACACACAGAAACCTCATGTGCTCCATCTGAATCACATTTGTTATAATTCAGCAAGCAGTATGGCTGCCCCCAAGAAAATGAAATCTTCTTTTCACTTCATTTACAGTGCGAATTCGGTAGTTACCCATGTTTCCCTTTTCCTTTCCCCTCCAAAAAGGGGAAAAACTTTACAGTGTTTTTTTTTTCTTCCAGTATAACTTACCTTATTTGGGGTTTTCCTGCTGATTATTTTATTTATATTTGTATTTATTTATACCTAACTAATTAAGCATTTCTACAACTGGATTTGCCAAGCACTTATTTTTATATGTGTTAATAGATACTTTGTTTAAAAAAAAAGAAACTCTTAAAATCTTTTGGAGGTTATTGCCTAAATATTATAGCCAAGTGGGAGCAGCACAAAGAGTCACCTTGTACTAAATTTTAAGGAAATCTCAACAATTCCAGATAAATTTAAGCATAAAGCAGTTCTGTCACAATGTCATATTAATATCTCAGAATATAGTCTGGGAAATACCACACTTCCTTGTTGTGTGCATTTCTTCATAGCCACTTTCTTTCCTTGAGGAAATAAGGAAAGGCATAAATGGGTGAATGGATGAATGATTAAATAAACAAATTAGAATTAAATTCCTTTCCAGAATTGCCTAGTATATTGTTTTAACTTCAAATTGAAGTCTGGAGCACGGTCCTATATGTAGAAACCTCTATACCCCTATGACCAGCCTATTTGAAAAAAAGAATTCAAAGCAACTTAAAACAGAGGCACAAATTTAAAAGAACTTCTGAAAGAAAGTAAAACATAAGAATCAAGTAAAATGGGAGATGGAGAGAAAGATGAACCAAGAAATAAAAACAATAAAAGATAAGGTATTACAATAGACCAACAAACTTAGCTCTGAAGTTTTTACATCTAAGACAAGAAAAAGAAGAAAAGAAAGAAAAGACACACGTGGTTTCCAAATGACAGCTCTCTAATAAAATTAAGCAGATCATTATACGCAAGTATAAAAAAAGTTTGGTCATTCTGAATTCTAAGAAGTATTTATCATGAAGAAACTTGTGATATTTAAAAGTTGGTGATAGTTTAGACATCACTAAGTAATATCACATTTTTGCATTTCAGATTAATATAAGGACACAAATAATTAGGATACAATGTTTGCATTTGTTACGTGAGGTCCCTGTTCTGGTTGTGCTCCTCACCCAGGCGGTGTGTTATATACCCTGACATTGTGCCTATTAAATGATAGCCCACTTATCCCCATCCCACTTCCTTTTTCTCCCCTCCCTCTTCCTCCCTCCCTTCAGCTTAAATTGAAGTGAATTTTTCTCTTGTGTAGGCATGTATTAGTTTATCTACTGGCTTTGTATTACTAACGAATACATTGGATACTTGCTTTTCCATTCTTGTGGTACATTACTAGACAAAATGGTTTCAAACTCTATTCTGTGCAAGTTAATACCAAAGATACATATTTAATTACATATATTTTAAGTATGTATCACAGATTTTAAATAAAAATG